GCTGTCCTGTCCTCTCACTCCTGTCCGGTGTCTCTGTCCCTCTCCAGGCCTGTACGGAGCAGGCGGACGCTGTCCTCCTCCTCTTCTCCTTCACGGACCGCACCTCCTTCGATGACCTGTCCAGCCACCTCACGCGGAGCTCCAGTCCCTCGGCCAGCACGGTCAGGCTGGTGGTGGGCACCAAGTATCCTGAGAGAGAAGGAGAAGGCCGATGAGCACTCGCCGACCCTGTGGTTTCGGTACCTGCTGTCCTCTCTGCGGCAGCTGTCACACTGTAGCGAGATGTTGCACTGTTCTTCATCTGCGCTGCACGAGCCTGAAAACAAGATTCCACACTAATCAAAGTCTGTGGTTGTGTATATATCTGTTCTGTGATAAAGGAACCTATATTTAAGCTGAAATGAAGGCCGGCAGCTAAATGGCTTGCATGCAGTAAGTTCCGTATATATTTTTTAGAAGCAGAACTTCCCTTTTCAGCCACTAGGGGTCGCCACTGTTTCAACCCTACTTTGTCTGGACAGGTCAGGTGGACAGCGCCATTCTGTGCACTCGCTGTGCAGTGCGTGCAAGTCAAACACGGCCAAATTAATTAATTTAAATAGAGGTCGTGCGCCATAAGCAATTACTTTAAAATAGTTACTGTTTGGTGCTCGTGATGTCGTTGCGGCCGACCGTGACAGCAGCCCTGTCCTGCGAAGGAGTGGCCAGGGTGCTGGTGATGAGAGCTGGGGCTTTCCTAGCCATGTCGAGCTGCCCTGTGTTTCCTTGACCGCGGCCCCAGGTTCGACCTCTTCATGCACACGGACGTGACGGAGCGGGAGCTGAGGGAGTTCCAGCAGGCGTGGGGCGTGCCCGTGTTCCGCGTCCCGGGTGGCGCGGGGGCGCCCGGGGTGGCGGGGCTGGCCGAGGTGGCGCCCCTGCTCGACGCCCTGGCAGAGCACCTGTGGCACAGAGACGTCCTGGCGGCCCAGAGCCCCGAGCCCGGCAGCGGGCGGGAGTGAAGGACTGTGGGCAGACTGTGCTCACTGAGCGCCCGCGCTGGCGGGCCCGAGATGGGCAGCGGCCCTGATTTTGTGATGGACGCTTGGGTAGGCATTGGGGGTGAGCTGGGATTAAGGGGTGCTGCAGAAAGAAGTCCTGAACCCCAGGACCTCGTGCAGCAGCACTGGCTGCCCTCTCCTCTGCACTGGGAGTGTGAAACGCTGCCCCCTTGTTGTACAGCTGCTCAAGGGTCTCTGCTAGACGCGGGTGATGAGGTGTGTTTTTACATAACGCTTTCACAAGGGGGTTTTGTATTGGTTCGTCATTCAGATGGTTTTGGGGGGAAAAGGAATTTTGTTTAAGCGTTGCTGAGGGTGGTCTTATCTTTGTGCTTTTCTTAATGACAAAGCTCCTCACCACGCAGACACTTTGTTTGACCCCCTGCTGTCATGTTAATTTCTGTCGTGTAGAAACATCTGGAAATGGAATCGATTCTCCTCAATTGTCTCAAACATTAAAGCAGCAGTAAAACACGCCAGAGAAACTCCTCTCTCTCTTTCTCTTGCCTCATGGGCACCAACATATCCTCTACCCTGACTCTAAACACTGGAGCCCCCCAAGGCTGTGTGCTTAGTCCTGTCCTCTACTCCTTATTTACCCATGACTGTGTCACCAGGCATCACTCAAACTCCATCATCAAGTTTGCGGACGATACAACAGTCATCGGCCTGATCACAGATGGTGAGGAGTCTGCATACAGGGAGGAGGTTGAAACCCTGGCAGTATGGTGCCAGGAGAACAACCTCTCTCTGAACATCAGTAAGACTAAGGAGATGATTGTGGACTATAGGAAACATCGGGGTGGGGACCACACACCTATTCACATCAATGGGACTGCAGTGGAGAGGGTCAGCAGCTTTAAGTTCCTGGGAGTTCACATCTCAGAGGATTTAACCTGGACCCACCACACCAACACTGTGGTCAAGACCACGGAGCAGAGCAGTGGCTCTGTGCCTAAGGATCTGCGCCTGTGGCTGGGAGGGTGCCATTTCAAATCCCGCAGCCGGCAGAGGAATCCTACTCCGTTGGGCCCCTGAGCAAGGCCCTTAACCCCAACTGCTCCAGGGGCGCCGTACAATGGCTGACCCTGCGCTCTGACCCCAGGCTTCTCTCCCTGTCTGTGTATCTCGTGGAGAGCAAGCTGGGGTATGCGAAAAGATAATTCCTAAAGCAAGAAATTGTAAAGGGTTAATAAAGTGATGTTGTTGTTGTTGTTAAGAAGTAGGTTATGTTATGTAGCTATGCTGGGAACTGTGTTGATTGATATTCTCACAGGTTTGTACTGGTGGAAACTGTGTTTGCCTCCATGTGGGTCCCTGATGCTCATCTGCAGGTGAGGCAGGGACGTGCCTTCTTGGAGTCTTGACGGGTTTTTGTTCTGACTCGGCTCCTAACCTGAAATCGCTCGTCATTGGCGTAATGGGATCAATGATCCTGCTCTGAATAGGCTTGGAACTGCTGCACACACCAGCCGTGTGAGACCAGGACTGGCCGCCCCTGTGGAAGAGGACGCGGAGAGAAGCGCTGAAACACGTGCAGATTCTCTGGAAGGGGTGGCCTTGAGTGGAGGGATGAAGACAGGGGCCATGTGAAAAGGGTGGTGTGCGTTTTCCTTTTGGTAGGGCCTTTCCCCGTACAAGCCAGGTCTTTACCGCAGAGAATCTGTGCTTTCCCCTGTACTCCAGGAACTACGGTAGCGCAGTCTCCCAGAGGAGTGGAGCTGTAGTTGTGCAGCGAGGCAGATTGAAGGCAGAGCTGTGCTGCAGACTGCTCCCCCTCCCCCCTCTCTCTCCGTGCTGCAGGAGCTGAGCTGCTGCTGTTGGCATCTTCAGGTTCCATCCCTTCGCGGCAGGAAGGGTTTTCCGTTCCTGTCGGATCGGTCCTGCCCGCGTGCGTGTTATTCTGGGTCTGGAGCTGGGGGCCGGGGGCTTCTCGTTGCCTGATGGGCCTGGGTCGTGCGGGCTAGCCCAGGGACGCCATGCTGAGGAAGAAGAGCTCGGAGGTTCTGGTGGATTTGGATTCGGTCACGGATCTGCGCGGCACGGACTCCTATGGCAGCATCCAGAACGGAGGCTTCGTCCCAGCGAGATACGTGAGTGCCCTGGTCTCACCGTGCCCCCGGGAAACGTGTTCAGGGTGCTGTGTCGGTGCAGGGCACAGGTTCCCCCTCGAGGGATCGCGGTTTCCTGTTCTTGAGCACTCGCTGCAGTCAGTGTTCAGCAAGGAGGGGATCTGTGGTGCCCTGGGGCTGAGAGGACAGGTCAGGTTGAAGACAGAGCTGTAGATGACGCAGGGTGTGCAGTCTCACTCCCAGTGCGCTGCGGTCTGATCCACTCCAGGGTTTACAGTGCTGTCAGTCAGACTCCCAGTGCGCAGCAGTCTGATCCACTCCAGGGTTTACAGTGCTGTCAGTCAGACTCCCAGTGCGCAGCAGTCTGATCCACTCCAGGGTTTACAGTGCTGTCAGTCAGACTCCCAGTGCGCAGCAGTCTGATCCACTCCAGGGTTTACAGTGCTGTCAGTCAGACTCCCAGTGCGCAGCGGTCTGATCCACTCCAGGGTTTACAGTGCTGTCTGTCAGACTCCCAGTGCGCAGCAGTCTGATCCACTCTAGTAGTTTTGGAACGTTTTTGTCAGTATCATAAAACAAGAATCCATAGCCCATTAATTGTTGCATCCCTGAATATTTACAGGTCTTGTTTTTTATTTGTTTTTGTGTTCAGTATAAGGTGCTTTTCCACAGTGGACATTTTTTTCAGATTTCAGTATTTGCTTTTAGATTTTCTTTCTGATCATGATGAAGCTTGTCTGTCCTGTGTGTGTTCAGCTTGATGACGACGATGATGATGATCCAATCTATATCCACTGCGAGAGGCCGAGGCTCCAGTCTCCACATCCCAGGGGAAACTACTTCAAGGATGGGAAAACCAAAATAGGTGACCGGTGCAGATCTCTTTCATTAATGAGGGCTCAGACAGTCAGCGTCACAGCGATGCTCCACCTCACAGTAAACTGGGGTCACACTGCCAGTGTCAGAGCGACGCCCCAGCTCACAGTAAACTGGGGTCACCCCTGGCTTGCTGCCCCAGCCCAGTGGGGTAGATGAGTTAGCTCTTCAGTCTGGGCCAGTTCTGCTCTGGAGCAGAGGAGGGTGGGGCGCAGCTCTTCAGCACCTGGCAGCCCCCCGAACCCCTGAGCTCAGGCGCTTAAAACTGCGACAAATGCTGCAGGCAGGAGTGGTGGGGTTCCTCAGTGGGGCTGCAGGTATCCCTTTCTTTCTGGGGTCCCCTGGAAGCTCTGAGAGGACCCGTCTTTGGGGAGCACTGCATGGCAGTTTTAGAGGCCGCTGGCTGCAGAGGGGGTGACCGCTGTCCCGCTGTGGCTGTTCCAGACTTCGTGCTGGTGTGGGAGGTGAAGACCCTGTCCCAGCGCAAGCGGCGTGCGCGCGGGCGCTACCAGGACCTGGCGCGGGCGGCGCCAGAGCGGGAGGCGGACGGGGAGGGGCGAGCTGACCGCAAGCGCGCCCAGCACCAGCGCTGGAGGGACAAGTTCGTCCGGAACCTGCAGAGCAGCGGCCTGCTGCTGGAGACGGTCAGGCCCCGCGGGCGAGCTCGCCCGGCCCGGCCCGGCCCGGCTCACATGTCCACAGGACATCTCTGCGCTTGCCTGCCTTCTCTTACCCCCAGCAGGCCCCCTCTGTCCCCCTCTGTCCCCCTCAGTCTCCCAATGTCCCTCAGTCCATTGTCTCCTAGTCTCCCGGTCCCAATCTGTCCCCCTCAGTCTCCCAATGTCCCTCAGTCCATCTGTCCATCTGTCTCCTAGTCTCCCAGTGTCCCTCTGTTCCTCTGTCTCCCAGTGTCTTCTGTCTCCCTCCTTCTCAATATCCCACCTCCTCTGGTCACCATGTTGTTCTGTACTTTCTCCACTAGGAGGAGACGGTAATCGAGAGGAAGACCATCCACTACCTGAAGCTGAGTGCCCCCTGGGAGGTGCTGGTGTATTATGCAGAGGAGCTGTGTTTGAGAGCGCCCCTGCAGGTCAGTGATGGTCACTGCATCACGGCTGTGCAGAAATATCCCCCTGTTAATCTTTCAGCTGGTCTTTTCACTGTTGAGCTGGTGTCTCACTACCCCAAGCCTGTGTCTGGGTACACCTGGGGACAGGGTGAAAAAGGCTGTAGATAATAAATCTGTTGACTCTGCCTCTTTGGGATCTTTAAATGCCTTGCTTCATCGGGATTTAATTTCAATACCCTGTTAGTCTGGAATGCCCCAGGGCTGTAGGTCACCCTCCCTGGTGCAGTCCTGCCTTGAACCCTGAGCTCCTGGGATAGACTTCTGGGTGCTCCAGCCTTCACTAGAAATAAGTGACTGTTATGAGATGGACCATCTACTGCCCCCCCAGTACTGTGGCAGTTCTTTGGGGTTTTAGCCAATAAATTCCTCAAATCAAATTCAAGAGTTGCGCCCCCTGGTGGCCCAGCCCTTGTGGTGCACTGTGCTCTAATCCCCAGGCTCAGCCAAACCCCGACCACAACACCTCCGACCGGATCCTGAGGAAGCTCTGTGTCCCCAACGTCATGGCGGAGACGGTGCCCAGCAAGCCGGTGGACTACTACACCTGCGCTTTCCGCAGGTCCAAGATGAGTCGGTGAGCTCACGGGCAAACGGGCCCTCCGGGTTGTGGTTCTGCTCCAGAATTGATCCTGAGGGGGGAGCTCAGACAGGGGGGTGCTGGGTGGGGAAGGTCACTGATCATCGTCGGAGCCGGTTGATAGCGGCGCTTTTGCCCCGTGGGTTGAGACCCTGTGAGGCTCCCTGGAGCCCTGAGCTCGGCTCGGGCGAAGGACCGGCCCGCCTGTGCGAGTCTCACCGGGTCTGTGTCCACACAGGTTCCTGGGCTCGGAAGACCGGGACTCCTACTTCAGCAGCACCCAGCGGCACCGGATCGTGAGTAGCTGCGCGCGGAGAGAGCCGGGCCGCCTGCTAGGGCTAGTGTCTGCTCGCGGTGCCGTCCCGCGCTCCTGAGTAACGCGCGCTTCTCCGGCTCTCTGTGCGGCGCCCGCAGGTGGCCGAGGTCCTGGCGCGCACTGCCTACGGGAAGCGCCGGCGCGCGGAGGTGGGGATGGAGCGGCTGCTCAGCGAGGGGGCGTACACAGCCGCCTTCCCGCTGCACGAGGTGAGAGGCTGCTCCTCCTCCTCCTCCTCCTCCTCCTCGTCCTGGAGCGGGCAGGCGCGGGGGAGGGGTGGGCTTGCCTGAACGCTCTCGTTTCCTGTCTTGTCTTCTGCCCTTCAAAACCTCAGAGCTGAATCTGGCTGAGTGTTGTTCACCGCGGCCTTCCTCCTGCACTTACTCCTCATACTCCTCCTCCTCTTTCAACTGTGTTATCTGTGTGAGGGACAGGGGGCTGTGTGTGGGACAGTGGTCTTTGCCCCAGTGTTGTGTG